TGGCATTTGCAATTGACAAAAGAATGAATGCAACTTGTGGTCATCGTGATACCAAAGTTTTGGGTGGTACATTATTATCAACAAAATGGCAAATTTTACAGTAAGAAATGTATCAAACACGTATTTATAAAACTATATGACAATGTTATTACAGCATTTGCATTACAGTCAGCTGCCACAATATACTCAGTAAATTTTGCAGGAAACCACTGGCTACAGTAAACATGTAATAGCTATAACTAAACACACAAACATTCATACATTACCCATGAAACAATAAAGCTTCTTGTAGACAATGAATAAACAATAGCAAATTGTATTATTTATTAAATAGAATGCTTTGAAATGACTGGAATTGACATTTTCAGAATGCATTATTGTCAGTCAACAAAAATACTTGATTACAATTTGCAACACTAAAGGAAACTTGCGCAGATATCTCTAGCTAGTTTTAAATTCTGCGTAAGGGGAGCTGTGCCGTTATTTTAAGAAGAGCTTTAAGCATGCCAGTCTGCCGTAGCTACAGGAAAGAAAATGATTAGCAGCCAATCTAGAGATGTATATAATGGCTCCTAGACGCAAAGAAAATTTTTGTTGCTGCACTTGGACCGCCCTTGAGCAATCATCTTTAGCAGGAAATATGCACAAGTTCAAATCACAGATCTATTGCAAGTTTTAAGTTGCACACTTGAAAATGCATGCTCACAGGCCAACACCACAGCAATGTTAACGCCTAACGTTAGGCTTTATTTAGGCACAGTGGTGCTTTTTGTCTTAAATGCATCATGTCAACATGCTAACTTGCTAACAATATGATGTGCGATGTTTGATTAAGAAAAAAAAAGGCAATTTGGCAGTAGTGCTGGAGAATCACAATATTAGTATTCTCAGCCTCAGTGCCAGTGTCCACATCACAGCTTCACAGAATTGTGCTCCCACACCTCACACTTAGGCTGTCTCCCTGGCAAATCATGTCTTCCAGAAATAGTCATAAGAGTTAACACAGAATGTGCTAGAGACAATAGAGATTATTGCTTTTGATTTTGAATTTTTATTGTTGTAAAATACCTTTTTAAGAGGGACAGACACCTTCAGCTACTTTACAGCACGTGTCATTTTGATTTCACACATGAAACAAGCAGCAGTAGAACATTTCTCAATCTGCACAATTGATTTAGAAAAGATTTTACACTTGATGCTATTTCTGATGAAACCCTAGGAGCACACAGGCTTATAGCCTCCCTGTGGAACTGCTGTGATGTACTAACAAAAAATAAGAGGTTGAGCTAGAGTTTCAGAGGTAAAGATGTAGAGTCTTTAATTTTAGATGGACGGGGCTAGAAATGAGTACATTGAAGGGACGGGTCAAGCTAAGAGTTTTGGAGACCAAGATAGAGAGGCAAGGCAGAGTAGAAATAGTGAATATGTTGAACAGTATGAAGTATGAAGCTACTAGGGAGGAACAAAAGAGGAAGTCCACTCCACAGAGGAGTTTCATGGATGTACTGGATGAGGAAGGATGAGGTTGGTGTGACAGAGGACAGTGTAATAGGAGGCAGATGATTCACTGTTTAAATAAATATGCAGTTTTTGTCTAAAGGAAAGTGCAAATAATTATTTTAGGTCTGTAGCTCCATTTGTTCCTGTTCATTGTGAGCTATCTTGTAAATACTTCCAGATGCAGCCTTGGTGGGATTGCAGCCACGTTTTCTACAATGGGATTAGCATGAAGGCTCTGCTTTGCCTTAAAGGAATTATCCATAGTTAACAACATACAGTTATGCTCCACAAGGTTTCCAGGGGTACAAGGAAGCATAAAAAACTAAACAAACTGAACAAGTACTCCAATAAGTAGCTTATTGTTGTCGCATTTCTCTACCTTGAGCCACTGTGAGCTAAGATTCCTAATCAGCAGCATATTTCTTCTAGAAGCAAGTGTTGTGCCATCCTGGCAGCCATCCTGAAAAGTCCAGGACTTAGTGGGGGCAGTTATTTTGGAACATGTGAATTCAGTTTGTGATGTCAGTGAAACCTTTTCTGTTTATTTACGTTTAGGGTGGACACCAGTATTGTCCTCTGAACACATCAATGGCTGTACATAACCCATTTCTCACTCTGAGTGATGTACCAATAAACTGGAGTCTTGACCAAGAAACATTGGCAGCCTCCAACCCATGATGTAACTGTAATGATATAAATACAAATAACCCCAAACAAAACCAAGCAGTCCAGGGTTTTATTTTGCTTGTAGATTTAAAATGGCATAACTGCAGCACAGATACGTGCTTCTTTATATCAGAAAGTAGAAGTTTAGTGAGTTGTTTTTGTCTCTATTTCATCTTATTTTGACCTGATCAATCTCATTTCCAGCTTTCTGACTGTTACAAGCTTAACTTGTTAATGCAAACCTGAAAGGTTTGCTTCAAGCAAGCAAGCAATTTATTTATATAGCACTTTCAGACAACTCCCAGCTGAAAACAAAGTGTCGTACACCTAACATGAAAAACGAAAAGCACATTAAAATAAATTAAATTAAAACAATAAAATCAGCACCTTAGATCGAATTAAAGCAGTAAAACCAGGGTCAAACTGTGTCAAAAGCCAATGAATAAAAATATAGGCAACTCTTCAGTTCATACAATAACAAATACCAAATCTCTCAGAGACTAAGTGTAAAATCACAATCACTGTGGTATAAGTGAGGGCATGTACAGAATGAAATTGGGGATTTCTCTTTATTTTGATGGCACATCCCAGGGAAAAAGACACTGGGACACATAATAATGAGGAGCTGACTAAACCTAAGAACAGTGTGTGAGTGTGACAGACTCATGGGGACCCAGCTAGTTTTATATATATCATACACGTTACGTGTATGATATATATTCATACACATGAATTTGATAGTCCCCATACGTGTAACATGTATGGGGACTATCAAATTCACATTACATCACAAACCACTCATCGCTGCATGAGTGGCCTACTTGAGCCAAGAAAATAACAAAAGGACTGCAACACTCAGTGAATATGCTTGGAATACTCATCTCCTGTTTCATCTGAGCAAAACAAGGATGCAGGTTTATTTTCATCTCATTTATTTGCAGTCCAACAGATTCTCATCACAAGAGATGGCTCAAAGGTGGATGCAACTCTGAAAAAACTTGTGGAGTATGCAGTATCTTTCTTAGTTGTCACTGGCACCTTAGACCTGAAGGGAAAAGGTATCGAGACACATAATAACAATGACCTAGCTACACTTTAGAAATGTGTGGCATGCCAATGGGTCTTAACCAAGATAAATCTTGAACGAGGCAGATAGTAAGCAATGTAATAAATGTGACCAACTGCAATTCTAAGCGCAGCAGCATCAAGCAGTGTGGACATAATGTGACAGACATATACTGTACTATACTGTATGTATAGTTCCTTATCTTTTCACCCCCCCAATAAAAAAAATAATTTGCTTTAGGGAAAGAAAAGTGCTATAAGCTTTTATTACTCCAAGGACACGATCAGGATAACTAATGTGTTAAAATATATCTCTGTTCTTTCCAGATTTCTGGAAGCTAAAGTTTGTAAATAGTTTTTAATAAAAGTTTTAATAATTTCCAGCTGGGCATATTTTTTTTTGAATGGCAGAGAGCTGTTGTAGCCATAGAGATGACAAATAAGTGTATACAGGTAAGCTGGTGACAGTTATTTGTTTATAAATGTCAATTAGTGTACCAATGGAAATGAGATATAGCAAGCCTTTTATTCTAATAGTCGTGCAATACTGTTTTTTTGTCTTAACAGTCTCTTTTTTTGTGGAGTTCCTGACAATAAAAATCACTGCTGAGCAACTGTGAGGAAAGTAAAATAGTAAGTAAAGTTTTTTTTCTGCCAAATGCGCACTGTTTCAGTAGATACTCACCTACATATTTAAAAAAAAGCCATCCTAGTCAAACAATTGGATCTCAATGGCCCTGAGCGGCTGAAATCCCAAGCCCATTCTTTTCCTTAATGTCATCCTGTGCATTTCCTGATTCTCTCAACTACCCTTGTTTGGGATGTTACGAATATGTCACATAATTTAATTAAATTAAATAAGAAAAATAAAGTCAAATTCAAATGGGTGGCGGTAGCTCAGTGGGTAGAGCAGGTCGCCTATTGATTGGAAGGTTGGTGGTTCAATCCCTGGCTCCTCCAGTCTGCATGCCAAGTATCAATTGCCCAAGTTGCTCTCCAATGCATCTGTCGGAGTGTGAATGTAGTTAGAAAGCACTCAGTTTAGAGAAAGTGCTTGTAGATTGGTTGAATGTGTCATGTTGTATAGAGTGCTTTGAGTACTCTGGGAGAGTAGAAAAGTGCTATATAAGAATCAGTCAAATACTATTATCTAAGATTTATTTCTGTCTAACTGTACCAATCACCCCCTTGTTTTTCCAGCCTCTGCCACTAGGTCATAATTATGAGGCCCTTCATTGCCCTATCTATTAATATCCTAAATGTTTATACTCTTTTTAATCCTATGGAATATTCAATGTGTCTCACCCATTGAATAGAGCTTCAGTCAAGTCATTGATGGGAATCATTCAGTTTGCATATTAATCCATTGTTATTATCATTATTAGCTTTTTGTCACTGATAACAGATTCGGTTCTCCAGATTTTACTTGCCTGGCTTTAACAGGATTCATAGGGAGCATGTTTTCTTAATTTAAGAAATTATTTTATGAAGTATGTCCCCCTATCTGCTGTGATGGCTGTTACCGTTGCCGGTCATGCACACATGCACTGTTACATTTTGAGGGAAAAAGACAAAAAAAAAAAAAAATAAAATACCAGAACTAATCCTTTTAAACTGCAAAGAATGTAGGCACTAACAAGTGACTAAACTGAGGGTAAATATGAACTGCTGAGATGAACGAACTTAAATGAAATTGAGTTTACTGAGGTGAGGTTTTGTTGACAATACAAACATGTACATGTACCTCTACCATTAGACAGTTACATAAGTTAATTTGTTTGTGTGCCTGTGTGAATGTGTGTATGTGGTGGTGTTTCAGTCTTAGAACATACTGACAGCACTGTATGTTGTGTTTCCTGCTTTCTGCTTGATGCTTTAATGTCATTGTACCCCTCATTAGTATTTTCCACAGGCGTGAGCTTGGGCTTTGTGCCATTTGCTTCAAATTCCTGCCCCACGCTGACACTATGGCTGTTTTCCTGCAGGGGCCACATTTCCTGCCAAGTGAGCGATGGATGATGAGCTGGGTGTCTGCTAAGGAGGGGCCTCCTCTGTCTGTAGTTAGCCCACACCTGCACAATAGTCTCTTTGAAAGGCCGTGTTGTTAGTGTGTAAAGGATGGGGTTAAGTGCGCTGTTGATGGGGAGAATAAATATGACCACCCAGGAGCTGATGGTACCTGTCAGAGAACAGAGAAAGAAATACAATTACAGTGTTAATTACTTAGTCTGTCTAGATTGTTACATTTAACAACTACTGACATCACAAATTAAAAATGATATACAAATAGTATCCTTAACCCCAAAATAAATTGTCATCATGCATAATCTAATGCATAATGGTATTCTTATGCAGTAGTAAAACTTATGGGAAACACTTTAAGAAAACACAGAATGAATCCATATTGGGAGCACTTTGCTCCGTTTGACCTTAAAAGGCAGGACTTTACAACCTGATGCTTTGCAAGAGAATGTATCTGTAGCCAGCTCTGATTCACTGTAATCAATTTCAAAAATCATCTAAAACACATCACGTTGCATTTAAATGTATTCTTAAACCACTTCTCCCCCCAAAAAACCAGATACTTCATCACACACAAATCAGCAACACATTATCACTTTCTTTTGCCAAAGACGTGTGATTACAAACTGCTAATGACCTGGTCAATGATGATGTCACTAAAAAAAAAATCAAATGAATAATGAATAATAAAATGAAGCCTGTCATGAATAATCTTAAAGCAAAAATCAGTAAAACAGTAGGATATAAAAAAAAAAGTCATTAAAAATAATAAAATCTATACACAGGTAATCAGTCACATCCATCATCGTATCCATGTGGTATTAGTTAAAAGTCTAGCAGCTACATTCTGCTGAACCCTTATAAAGACCTGCCTGCATTCATCAAATCATCTGCTTCTTTTAGTGAGTTGCAGCAGACACAGCTGAGCTAAGAGGCCAAAAATGTTGTAGAGGCAAACTGTGAGGCTAATTAGGTAGCATTTTACTCAAAATGCTCTTTTTCATCAAAGTGTTTGTTTAAATGCTTGTCATTCTTTTACTGTACCGGGAATCTCCACCTGCAGCAGCGAGAGGATCTTGAGGATGAAAATGGGGATCCAGCAGAGGGAGTCAGTAATGACGATAGAGAAGAATCTTTTGGCAATGGTCACCTCTTTTTTGATGTGGTTGCTATATTTAGTGGTCTGAGTGCCTGTTCTCTGGATGTTATAAAACATACTTGCATAGGAGAGGACAATGATGAGGAATGCCACCAGGTTAAGACCTATGGAAAGATTTCATACAAACAAGTTTAAATTTGCAGTACTTGAATGTACATGTATAATAAATCTTTGCATCCAGAGCAAATAAATAAATGCAAAACCCCCCACATATAAAACACACATACTAAATACAGAACCTGTACTTTTACAGTTACCTTTGGAGAAGAAGTAAAAACAAAAAAAAAGCAAGTGAAAACATGAACAAAAATCTTCAAAGCACTGTTTCAAGAACAAATCCTCACCCAGGAAAATAACGACGGAGTAAACGTGAGCCCATAGAGTCTCTGGTTGTTCAGAGTGCAGTGGAAAGCAGACACCATTGGTCCCGTAAAAGTTGCGAAACAGCCCCTTGCAAACTAATGGGAGGAAGGCAATAATAAAACCAAACACCCATATCCCAAGAAGGATGGTGACAGTTCGTCGCCAGCCAGGAGTCAAGTACTGGAAAGGGTAGACTATGCAGATGTATTTCTCCAGCGTTAGATATGTGAGGAGCAGGACAGATACTTCAGTGGACAGCATGGCCAAAGAGCCAATGACCTGACACTGGCTGCTATCCATCCACGCCTGGGCATGCCGGTTGTACTCGCCTCGAAACTTTAGGTCATATGCACCGATCATGAAGAGGTAGATGCCCATCAACCCATCTGCACCTGCGAAGAAAAAGCAGCTGATTTACAAATTACTTATGAGATTTTGGTATAAGATTACATCCTGATATTTCTGGAGTATTTGGCTGAACATATACTGTAGCTATAACGATGTATTTGGGCTGCTTTGCTTCAGAAAATTTAGTTTCATTACTTTAGATTAATTAAGAAATGTGAGCACAATGTCAGTTGGACTTATTTTAACAGCAAATAAACACTGCAGTGCTCTGAAAAAAAAGACAAGTTCAAAAATTGGTCAACATGAAAGGATTGAATCTGTAAGAAGGAGATTAATGATAACATGCTGACAGCAGCCACTCAACCTCGGAAATCCATGCATATTAAGAGGAACCAGGGATACTATAGGCTAACATCAGTCTTTCATGCGGTCTAAACTGTTATGAAAAGGAAATGAATGATATGATCAGTTTGAAATGGTGCAAAAGTATACCCATTAGCATTCTTGCTGAAACTCTTGAGGAAAAGGAGTAGCGGCTGGGCTCGTTTTAACTTAGCATTAAGACTTTGAATAGGGAAAAAAAACTAGCTCTGTTCTGTTCAAGGGAAACAAAACTGACACATTAACTAGAGAACTCAAGGCAAAACTAATGAAAGAGAAACAGAATAATGTATGTTCGGTGTTTTAAACTAGAATGCTGATTTTATGTTCTTCTACTCAAAGAGGAAGGTTCTTCCGAGTTAAATTTTACTTGAGGGGAGAATGATTTATGATATCACAGCTAGTTAGAAGCCAGTTTTGAAGAAATCGACAGGCCCCGGGGACCCACATACTCCCCTGCAACCCTGTTGCGTATTATTAAAGAACATGTAAGGGATACCCATTCATCCATCCATCCTGTTAACCGCAGTTTAGGGTCACAGGCGTGATGGAGCATACAACAGTGCTGCATATTTATAGATTCTGAACAAAAATGAAACAGCTGAGTTTTACACTTGAATTTCAAAACTTTTAAACATCTTATCTAAACCAAGAAATGTTCAAGGAGTTTGAGGATTAACATTTAAATGCAATCTAAATTCTGACATGTAAAATGGGGAAATATTTAATATTGCAGAGTATTCTTGGGTCTCTCAGTCTAATTTGAAAAAAATAGGTCATGTTAGTCATGTTAAAAAAAGGTTCATTTCTTTCAGTTGTATCTTGTCACGATCCGCAGTGGCAGACTGAGTGGAGAGTGTGTGGAGGACTCAGACACAGGCGAAGACACGAAACGGAGTTCAAACGAAAAGCGAGCCTTTATTTTGGCTGATGACATGGCGGTCAAACAAGGCAGAAGCACAGTGACCATGACAGTATCTGTTCCATTAAAAAAACATTCAAATGTAATACAAGTGGATTTGATCTATTCATGAGAAACCTTTTCAAATACAGTAAATGAACTTGCAGACATTGCTCAAGATTTCCAGCAAAACACAACTAAGCACACTGCAAGTATCAGTGAGCAACATTTTAATAGAATGAAACACAGTATCAACTAATGGAGGTGTCCAAAGTCAAATTGATTTTATCCAAAGTAAAGAAGGGCTTTTTCTGTGTGAAATGATGATTAGAGTAAAACCTTTGAAGAGGTTATGACATTTTACATGCACTGGTAAAACTGCTTATTTACATTCAAAGCACGATCAAATGGAATTAGAGTGACCGGACTATAAGAAGATCAATAATAAGGCTCAGTAGACTGAGAGTTGGGGGAAAAAAATGAACACATACAGATTTTGCTATAGAAGAAAAAGCAAGACTCCAATCAGCACAAGTGCATTAGTATTAGTTCCTATAACAGTTGGGGGATATATTAACATTCACCAGCATTTCTCTGATTGGAAAAAGTGTTCTATTTGCAACAGCAACACTTCATTTATCAGAGACATCTTTTGGTTTTCCTGTTTTTAGAAAAGAATTTATACAGCAGCAGAATAATGACCACAATACAAGCTTTCCGAGAGCTACGAAAGAAAAAACATCAACTGTCACTGATTTTGCTCTATAAGCCACCCACCTTCATCCCCATGGAACGTTTGTGGGGGCATTTGAAGACTAAGAAAACTTTCTCGATAAAACAAGAAACTTTTTGGGGATGTTGTGAGATGGTATAATATGGGATATGAAGTTTTGTACAAACCTGTAGATTCCAGGGTTCGAAATATTCATGTGATTACAAATGTAAATATAAGCTGCGGAGCCAATATTTTTTATGATAAAAAGTCTAAACAAATACAAACTATAGGTATCATCACTAGACCTACTAGAGTTTCTGAATCAGAATACTTTGTTAATCCCAGAGGAAATTATGTGGTCACAGTTGCTCCAAGACAGTAAGAACAGTAACTAAATAAACTAAAGTAATTACTACAATCTATATTACAATATTATAAAACATAACAAAATACCTCTTATGCAAATAGCTCCAAATTATAAACATCCCAGTATATTACACAAATAAATTAGTTGACACTGAGGTGCCCTTCTTGTTAAGACTTTGACCCCTACTGTACAACATTTTTCTTTATATAAACGTTAGAAAAAGCAACATTTAAAGCCCAAACCTCAAATTTGTGTTGCTTAGTTAAGTTAGTTTTTCAGTGTGGAATTTGATTGTCACCCCTTGCGACAACTGATGAAAAATGCACTTCACAGCCTTCACTCAAGAAGCAGTGGGTCTCTTTGTTAGGTTGCCGTAATGAGCCCATTACAGCTTGCTGCAAGTAAGGTGAGGAGGACAATGCACTCAAAAACTTGTGCGTACCCCCTCGGGCAGAAATTCTTGAGAGCATGTAACTTTCTCTTCAAAACTAACAAACTAACAAAAGGTTATGTCTGTGAAGGTTCTCAGTCATCCAGGTCATCGTAGTCAAAGGAGCTTGCCTTTCCTGGACTGCGCTGTGCACATTGAAGAGAATGGCAACCACAACATCGAGGTTTACCGGAAGCCCACACACACGGACCAGTACTTCCTCTTTGACTCCCATCACCCTCTGGAACACAAACTTGGAGTAATTAGGACCCTACACCACCGGGCAGAACATGTTCCCTCTAAGCCTGAAGGGAAAAAGAAGGAACACACCCATGTAAAGGAAGCACTCAAAACATGCGGTTATCCTAATTGGGCGTTCATAAAGTCAGCAAAGATGCACAGAAAAGAAGATCAGACACCAGCGAGGGAGGATAAGAAGGACAGACTCAACAACATTGTCATCCCCTATGTAGCCGGTGTGTCAGAAAAACTCAGGAGAGTTTTCTCCAAGCATGACATCCCGGTGCATTTCAGACCCAGCAACACACTCAGACAAAAACTGGTTCACCCGAAAGACAAAACTCCTAAACACAAACTTAACAACGTGGTGTATGCTGTACAGTGCAGTGAGGAATGCCCAGACCTCTACATTGGAGAGACCAAACAGCCACTTCACAAGCGCATGGCACAACACAGAAGAGCCACCTCCACAGGACAAGACTCAGCAGTTCGTCTGCATCTTAAGGATAAAGGACACTCTTTTGAGTATGCCAATGTTCACATTTTGGACGGAGAGGACAGATGGTTTGAAAGAGGAGTGAAAGATGCCATCTATGTCCACTGTGAGCGACCATCTTTAAACAGAGGCGGTGGTTTACGACACCAACTCTCTGCCATCTATAATCCAGTTTTGAGATCCCTTCCCAGACGCCTTAACG